ATTGATCTACACAAGATGACAGAATTGGGATCTTCTGTTTATTATTTGCTTATCATTGGATTTGTTTTCAACAAGAAAACGGAGTGTTATTGACGTTTTACTGAAAAAGTGGTGTCTTCGAACGGAAAGTACGGGCCGATAATGTTGGAGAGTTTTCCAACATGGAGTTGATATCTGTGGCAGAAAACGCTAATATCACATTAAAATTCACAGCTGTTGGCAGTCCGTGATCAAATGGTGTTTGTGAGCGTCACAATGCGCTAATCACTGAAACATTCCTGACGGAAAGTTTCAGAAAAAAAACCCAGGATCAGAGCCAGAAGATGTTTTAGTTCATGCAGTTTTCGCCAAGAATTGCTTGTTAAATAGCAATGAGTTTTCTCCTTATCAACTTGTTTACGGAAACAGTCCAAACATACTAAATGTCGCTACGAATTCTCTTCCAGCACTTGAGGAAGCTTGCATCAGCAAAACGTTCTCAGATCAACTGAAAAAGCTCCATGACGCAAGAAGTGCTTTCTTGAAGTCGGAAAACTCAAGAGATCCCTAGAGCTCTTTGAGTAATAAAAGATGCGGGTCCCTTCCTTTTGGTGGATGATATTTTCTACCAGCGCGAAGAGAATTAATGGAAAAGTCCAGCGAGAATAAGTGGCCTAGATGGCCGAGTGCACCTACGTCACGGGTGACAAGTTGTTAAAGTTCATTCCAATATGATATGCCATGTAAAATCCACAATTCCTGACGATTGTCGACAAACCAGACGTACAAGACGTGACGGGAACAAAAGTCAGTTCTGGGAGCGATAGCGTTTACACGGACCCAGACGAAAATTCGGACACACCTCACTAGTTCAATGAGAAAGAGTCAGAGGGCTCTGATTTGTTGGAGGGCTCATCTGACATGATTCAGAAGAACCAAGATAATGTAGTTCACGATATCGATGACAATTCGGATGAATTGGAGCAGGTATCTGATCGAGTTGTCGCTAAAGTAACTAGTTATCCCAAAATTTTTCAAAAGATCAGACTGGTGTTGCGAGATCCTTCTGTACCTGGGGTCAATTACGCTGAAACTGTTTTGAACAGAGAAGGTAAGAAAACAGATCAGTATAGGAATTAATAGAATATTTAATTCGAAAAAGCAGATGCTTGTCATGGTGTTACTGACTGCCTTGACTATAAAAACGACCGTGTTGCACTGGTAACCATCTGAAGAAATTTGCCTACTGACAGATGAACACAAAGCATCAATTAATTTCGCAAAACAAGGGGGGTACGAGAGCTGGCTCGAAAATGAGGTTTTCGAAGTAGTAACAGACAACTATCAACACTATTTCAACCAAGTGGGTAATTACTGGGAAAGATGACAGAAAAAGGATTTGAAGGAAAAAGAAGCAAGAGGATTTGAAGAACTCGATGCTGATGAAATTATTCGCTATTCACCAACTTGCGCTAAAGACTCTCTAAGACTATCATTGCTTTTCATAGTATCGTCTGAGAACTGGGAAATGGGTTGCATGAACGTTCATACGGTTTTTCTTCAAGGAAAAAAGATCAACCGTGACGTGTAATTGTCGCCTCCGCCAGAGTTTGCAGAGAAAAACAAGCTATGGAAACTTAAAAACACCGTTTATGGGCTAGCTGATGCGTCGCTCAGCTGGTCTGAACGATAGAAAGAAGTATTCATTGTGCTACGAGGAACCGCTTGCAAATTTGACGCAGGATTGTTTGTTTCGTGATTCACGTTCAAAAAAAATTGGCCTTGTTTCCATACATGTCGATGATTTCTTATGGACAAGAAATCAAAACTTTATCAGCTCTGTGGTTGCAGGAATCAGGAGCAACTTTTAAATTGGCTCAGAGAAAACTCTGCCCTTCCGATATCTTGGTTTAGAGTTTGTCCGTGAAAAACAGGGAATAACTATAGATCAGACAAATTACCTAGAAAAAATTCAGTAAATCTGTTTTTCTGGAGCGGGAGAAGAGTTATGTACAAATGAAGACAAAAATGCCATGCGTACTTCACTGGGCAAACTTCTCTGGTCATCGACACAAACTCAGCCAGGTTTATCTTTTGGTACTTGTACAATGGCATCGAAGATAAGAACCTCCAAGAAGTCTGACCTTGCTGTTCTTATCAAGCTCATAGGTAAATGCAAAGCTATGCCTGCTAAACTTTGTTTCCAAACACTTGATGTCGAAAACTGGGTCATTATTCTCTGCACCGATGACTCGTTAGGAAACTGTTAAGACTCGACGTCACAGTGTGCAGATTTGCTTTTTCTGGCTGGAAGGACATATACAAGCGTTCTGATATCGTGGAGGTCCCAGAAGTTCAAACCGGTTGTCAAAAGCACTCTCAGTGCGGAAACGGTTGCGTGTGTAAAAGCATTGGACTCTGGTATTCTGTTACAACGCATTTTCAATGAGGTAATTTGTGTCAAATTGCCTACTTTGTGCTACTGGCAAGGAATCGCTTGTATCTGCTGTACACTCTTCAAAAATTGTGGTAGCTAAACGTCTGAGAGTCGATATTGCCTATTTACGAGACCTGATTTATCATAATTCTTCCAAACGCCTTGTTTGGGTGCCCACGAAGGAACAATTTGCTGATTGCATGACAAAAATTACAGCTCCTGCAATAGATTCAGTGAGCAAAACATTATTCACGAACAGTTTGGAGATTTTCTTTGCTAGCAAAGCAGTTAAAGAATCGCTATGCACGTCAACTTAAACTCTGCGGAAATAAACCCTGAAACGTACATTTATAACAACAAAATTATAACATATTCATTTCGAACTGCTAAAGTGTTAAAAGGTTATTCATTTCAACCTGGTAACGTGTTAACATGTTATACCTTATTAAAACATATTCATTTTGTGCTGCTAACGTGTTAATTTCAATGAAATGAACAGTGAGCATTTAGTCTTACACAACAAATTCATTTAGCTGTATGTAATAGTTGACTGATTGAAACTAGTTTACCAGACCCATTTTGATTTACGCATGATTTCATCATTCTAAAACAATGGGAGAAGGCTAGTCTGTATGTCACTTTGTATGTCAGTTCAGGTGATCTTTGAATATATATCTTTAGTATTTTAACCTGTTTTTACATTGATAAGGAACCTAGGAGATGTTAAGAGAAGAGACCAAATGTACCTCCACAAACTGTCGCTAATGCAATGCTCCCCAAACAGCACAACTCTTATTTAACTTCCCTCAAAATGAACCAACCTGACCCCAAGATACTTGTGTCTTCGACCGACAGAAGTCGCAAAGTTTTTTGGAGTCGGCGAGAGCAGGTCGGACGTTCCTCGAACAACAAGCTAATAACATAAACAATTCAGCCGATTTGAAGTTCAGAAAATTTAGCCAAAAATGTGCAGACAATTCAGCCAATAAAAGTGACCGCCGCAGTCGCGCCAACGTGTTGCGAGCTTGCCAACAGACGGTAGGACTGTGTACAAAAATTAGAGCCAATTATCGCCGCGACACGCTCCGCCCACCGGCGACCTTAAACCGAGAAATATCTCCAATTCCGATTTCTTTCGAATCTAGCGTTTTGTAAAACTAGCTGAATTGGCTCAGGCTGAATTGTCTGTATACTTTTGGCTGAATTGCATATTGGCTGAATTGTATTTGGTCGGATTGTCTGTGCGCGTAAACTAACATAGCCAACTGACATTTGGAAAAAGGTAGTGAACTCAAAATAACAAAAAAAAACTTATTTTGTTCGAAAACTTCAATTTTCGAAATTTAATGAGTGTCAAATGGCCATAACGCTCTTTTAAATTCAAGAAAAATTTATGGTTGGTTCTTTTTTGATAAACTTAACCAAATTTGAGACAACTGGATCAAACCCTCAATTTTTAATTCCGCTGAGAAATTTGAACAAAGCCATTTTTTAAAGTCGATCACGTTTTTCCGCGCCATATCCACGTTCGTATTTGAAGAGTGCAATTTACATACTTTTCTGCAGATGGAATTAAATTGAATTCAAAATTTGCTTATATATACCTAAGTGCAACCATAAATGCAAAAAAAATGTACCAATGAACATCTGTAATTATTAGAACATTATAAGACTTTACTGAAAAAAGCAAAAAAAATCACCAAGACCTATCAAAGAATCTTCACTACGTTCATAACTCTTTTAATCAATTGATATTGTTTAAGTTGCTAGCCTGAATAAAATCTTTCTTCCGCTTTAAAAACACCTAATTTTGGGTGGTCTGTTTAGCCAATTTAAGCACATGTTTTAAGTGTCAATGGAAAAACTTAAAACTAATAAACACAAAGTAGAACAAGGATAGCCAGTTCGTGTGCAAGTAGCACAGAATCCTCCGACCAGTCTATAATAAAAACATCTGAACGAAATAGGCATATTCGACAGTTATCGTTAAAAAGGCCCATTGGAAAAAATTTATTAAAAAAATGACTTACGAAACGGAAAAAAATCGTAAAACATTTTTAAATTTTTTGCAGAAACGTTTCAATTTATTTAGTTTTCGATTTCGAATGGCGCTAAATAACTCCAGAAACTAACTTTACACGAGTACAACTACGTTATCACGGATAAAATCAAGCATAAGTAAGCTCTTCTAAGCCTGATTGCTCACCTTATTAGCTCGAAATTAGACCAAAAATCAAAAATTTCGAGCCGGTTTTTCTCGAAACACAAAAAAAAATTTCAACAATTTTTGTCGTTCGATTCACGACTGAGAGGGCTTTAATATGACATATCACTCGACCCATGCTTATGATTATTTGTGGTACCTGATTTTGCATAAACAAAAAAAAACTAAAACACCCGAATACCAAGTTCCTCCCTCCCCATTTTTCAAATGGTGGGAACAATGACGTGCAATGATTTTAAAGCCAAAAACTAGACTGAAACATCAGATCATTTTTAATTTTAAGTCTACAAATGGTTATTGTGAAAACGCTTTCGATCGCCTGTTTAGATTTTAATTTCGTTGTCAGACCTGATAGAAAGACTGATAACAAAAATTCTCTGATCACAAAATTTCGGCGGTACAAAATTATCAACGTCAGAGATTCAGCTTTCCAACACAAACTTGACAACAAAAATACAACACAAAAGCAGTTGCTGAAACTTTTTTTGGAAATAGTGTGTTTATGATCAAACAGCTTGCAATGAATTTATGAATACTTTCGGCTATTATTTCTATGTTTCCGATTTCACTTGTAATTCTTTTACGGCAATCGAACTGACCGATTCAACGACTATATTGTGATAATTTTCAGTTTCAGTAGTAATTATTGGACAAGATTGGCTGTTTTGGAGTTCCGTTTGCTCGATTGATCTAATCGATTTGAAAACCCGGTTCTAACTTTGGAATGTTCAATGACGACTCTTCTACGCAAACAGATTCAGCGGCAAACTCCGCCTCCAGGGAGGAGCATGGAAGCTGCGTTATACTGCTTGGTTTCTCCTGCGTTAAGCCTGCTCCAGCGCGTGGACTCATCGTGAATGAGTTGTTCTCGGATTTAATACTATTTGGCAGTTGTGTGTTCTCTTTGTGAAATCCTAGCATGTGGTTTCGTAGAGTACTCGATTGAGCAAATGCTCGCTGACAAATGTGGCATTGGTATGGCTTTAAACCAGTGTGCGTATTCATGAGTCCATTAAGAGTTCCTGTCTGTGCCAACCTCTTGTATTCACATGAGTAACACCTCTCTTCATTGTGAATGAGCTGTCTCTCAACACAACTTCTCAGAGCGAATCTTTGCCCACAATCAACACATTCGAAATTATCATCTGGCTTCTCTTCACTGCGATTATCCGAGTGAAGATCTCTTATGTGTTTTTTGAGACTTGAACTGGAACTAGATCTTTCTCCGCGTATATCACAGGTATAAGGCCGCTCGCCAGTGTGAACTCTCAAGTGTATTCGAAGACCACCTTCTTGACTAAATTTCTTCTCGCATAACACACATATAAATGGTTTCTCTCCTGTGTGTGTTCGCATATGCCGTTCAAGATCACTTCTCTGGATGAATCTTTTCCCACAATCATCGCATGCGAACTGCTTTTCTTCTATGTGGATTCTTCTATGCTTACGAAGACTACCTTCTTGACTATATTTCTTCTCGCATACCTCGCACTTAAATGGTTTCTCTCCTGTGTGGCTTCGCATGTGTCTTTCCAATTCACCCATTCTTTTAAATAACTTGCCACACACATTGCATTCATTAAAACCCGCACTCCACTGCGCTTGTGAAGATCCCTTCTGTTGACTCTTCCCGCACCTGCTGGTAGTTCCATCCTCTACAGGCATTAAAACAATTAAAACAATGCGAAATGCAAAACATCCTTCATATTAGATTTAGACAAAACTCCCTTATAACGAGAAATTGACAAAACATTGAATTTTGAACGTTGAATTTTCATTGATTTGCGAATTAAAGAGAATCAACGCTCCAACATATCAATTAAGTATATTCGGAAATATGTTTTTTGCTACAGTTCAAAAGAAACGAAACAATTCTATCAAACACTGTTCCGTGAAATTTTCGACAATTTTTTGTTTTTGTCATTTTTGTATTTCAGCACTCATTGGTCATCCCCATTAAAATTATTCAGCCAAAACATCCGACATTTTATTGAGTTTGTCAGCTGGATCGAAATGTTGAGCCAAGATATTATGTGTAAGATAACTGCTAAGAATTGATTAAAACCACATTTGCTCGACACGAACTTGGCTGCAACATAGTAGTTCACAGCATTTGAGCATATTCCTGGGACGTAAAACAAATACTCTAACAAGAGTTAGCCTCTTTTTCAAGAATGAATGAAAACACTTGAAATGACTGAAAACAATTCAGTATCTAGAAAAATCCTAGGATTTCGACTGGGATATGCGCTGAAGGGACTCCTGACTGTAACCTCGGTTCTATAAATATTTTGACCTTCTGATTATGACTGAGCGAATCAAATTTTTGAGCTTTTGCAAGTTAAATTTCCAAAAAAAACCTCGACCAAATTAACTGATGTCAATGTAAAAATGCTAGCCTTCAAACTTCTGCTCAGACAGAACACACTCCTAACCTTCGTATCGTTCGAACTTTCCGAACTCCATTGTCAATTCATAGAAAACAATATTTGGAATGCAGAGGCGAATCTTGGCTAAACTCGATGCAAATTTTACCGGAAACGGTCTTTCGAAAATTATCCCTAACAAGCATCTAGATCATCATCAAATTGTCTGAAACAAACTCAATTGAAATCTTCTGACAGTTGAGCGCCATTTGATCAGAAAGACTGATGATTTTGACTTAAGCGGTGCAAGCTAGCAGACAGGAAAAAAAGCCTTTTTTTTCAGAAAAAATTAAAAGCGAACAATTCAAAAAACCACAACCTAATGAATCACAATTGTCTGGAATCGAGTTCTATTTACTGAAAACACTTCCAGAAACACAACCGACGGCAATTAACGAAAACTCAAAAAAATTAACAAGCGGCTTAAGAATCTTTTGGTCTCCAAATTAAAGCAGAAGTGTCAACACGAGGTCATCGACGGGTACTGCGATCTCTACCAACAACATGAACTTGATCTGAAGTCTTTTTAACTTAGTTAAGACCAAAAAATCCGGCGGCCGGAGGGTTAGGCGGGAAGTCATGAGCCCGCTTATTCCAAGGCCCTGGGACCAAAAACAATTAAAGAGAAAGTGTAAAACCGAACAAAAAAATTTGTGCCATTCTGCCAGATGACACAGCACAACCTTCCCGCGACAGAAAAAAGAGTGACTAAAGGCCTTATGAACAAAAAAGTGTTGCGACGGAGGGTCAGAATGTTCTAGAATTTTTATTTTTAAAATTTCGATTGGAAGAACATTTCTGAGAAATAGAAAAAAAGACGGCCATTTTGAATAAAAAAGACGAAAATCAGAACGACGCCAAATATTGTGAAGAACAGTCGAGCAAGAAAATTACGAAGCCTCTTATCGTGGCAAGAACACACGATAAGAACCTTAGCGACGTATATTTGTGGAGAAGGAGGCTTCAGTGGGGGGAAGAGAAATACCACGGAACCCTCCCGGGACACGAAATATAAGAGATAAGAGTGTTATCTCAAGAAAATCACGGGAGCGGAGGCTTGGTCCCCCAGAGACTGTTATATGTGAAGGGACTGTGAAGACTGACTATAACAGCTGCTGTAATGTCCTAGATCTTAATTAACACCGTTATTATTTAATATTTCAGAGCATGAGTAGATAGAAAAAGGAAAGGGTCAATCCATCTCCAATGGATTTAATATAAAACTGTCACACAAAAACATAATAAAATAGGTTGTTCGAGCCGTGTTTTTAATGACAATCACGTAGTCTGAGGATCCGAGACTCAGCTATGTGGTTGTGTTCGCATGTAAACGAAAGCTGATCAAAAGTCGTTTGACTGATGGCCTAAAAATGGTAACTTTTTACTTTGCCCTAGACAGACCAGAAAATCAACTGGCAAGGTCGAGACGGTGAAAAACGAGTAGAATTAAGGTAACTGACGCCTGCCAGTCGTTAATAGGTACTTTTTCTACGCTCCGTCGCTGTGTGATATTTGGGCGAATGTTACATAGACGTTTTTATGGCGCTCCTGGGTGGGCCTGTTAAAGGCATGAAACCATCATGATCAGCAAGCGTTTCAGCGACGAACCCTCCGCTCCGGGCGTATGCCCGAGTTAGAGGTCTTAATGACCGTTTTTGTACTAGGGGGAAGGTGCGTACCCTCCGTCTAGTACAATTTAGCTTTTTAACTCAGTTAACACCGAAAATTCCGGGGGCCGGAGGGTTAGGTGGGAAGTCATGAACCCGCTTGTCCCGAGGTCCCGGGACCAAAAACAATTGAAGAGAAAGCGTAAAACCAAACAAAAATAGTGTATAACCAAGAAAAAGCCAAAAATAAATTTATTTAAAAACAAAAAAGTACAAAAAACAGTAAAAAATCCAAAAAAGACCAAAAACAGTAAAAAACATAAAGTGACAGTTTATATGTTATTTCCGGACGAGATGTGATCTGACCTTCCTATTTGTTGTTGTTTCAGATTGATTTATATCGTTTCTGATAGAAAGATTGTGTGTTTTGGTGAAGGGTTGGATACCCTCCCTCGAGTGTAATTTGAGTGTTTAAGCACGTTAATGGTAATTTTGCCGGTGGCCGGTGGGTAGAGTGGCAAGCTGATCAACGTGTTCCACACTCAACAGGGACATCAAGGACAACATCCGCAACGACTGTTGGGTATCGTTGAAGCAATTTTAGTATCGTTCGGGTACTATTTCATTAAAACTTAAGTGGTGGGGGGCACGATTGGCGCGGTCCGATTGTACCCTCCATCGATTACAAATTTCCGAGTTAAGGGTCTTAATTCGGATATTTTGGTGCAAGGGAGGGTATAGTACTATTCATTAACGACTATTAATAGATTCTTATCCTTATTATATATTACTTATCTCCTCAATTAGATCCAAAAAACACCCAATTTTGTCGAAAATCATCGATTTTCGATCAAACTGCAGACCCCCAAATTTTTGGATATCCGAGCTTTTCCGAACAACAAAAAGCTTTTATATAGGGAGTAGCTACGTAGTTCGATCCCCCTAACTAAAGAAACCGCGTGAGAAAAGACTCAGTAGAAGTTGGAAAAAACCAAAATTTTTCGGTCAAAATTTCGATAATTTTTTGAATTTTGTCAATCTGTTTTGGGGATCGAGTTTTTGAGTTTTTAGAGTTAGAGCAATAAAATTTTTTGCGTTAGGAGCGTGCTAGCACAACGTGCTCGGTTACTAGAGAAATTTTTGGGTAACCCTCCGAGTAGCTCCGTGGATAGAGCTAACGACTTAAGGTTTGGAAAAGGAAGGAATCGGAGGGTCCAAATTTGATAGTTTTTGGCCAAATTTTTGTTTCTAAACCAATTTTGGTCCGGTTTTTTGCATTATTCCAGTGCCGTACAGGGCTACTACGCTCATTTCAAGTATTTTTAGGCACTTTCGACCGGAATTGCGAAAAAAGTCTTTCAGATCCTATACAGGTGGTGAAAAAGGCCATTTTGACGAACGCGTTTTTGGCGATTTCTCAAAGACTAGTTATCCGATCGGGATAATTTTGGTACCATAAGTCGACGTTTTTGACCACTTTTCCGAATCGCAACCGTTTTTGGGTTGATAATTTCGGAAAAGAAAAATTTTTTAGAATTTGTTGGTTCGGAGGGTCCAAATCACGGGCAACCCTCCGAGCGGCAGAAAATTTTATCAAAACATCTTTTTATTCAACTGGAAAGGTTGACCGTGTCAGCCAACCTAGTTTTAAGTCAGGTAGACCGCTTTCAGAGGCTTTACTGCGGTGATATAACCCTTTTTCTTGATTTTGGGGGAACCCTCCGAGGTGACCCTCCGGAGTCAGCTAAACCCTTTAGCAACCCTCCTTAGTGGAAAATTTCCACGAGATCACCCTAAGAAGTTAAAACAGCTCCCCTTAGAGCTCCTAGCTTGTTTTGACGCTTTTTGAAGCGAGGGGGAGAACCTTCTAAAAGAGATCGAAAAATTTGAAAATTTTGGAGGTACCCTCCAAAGTAACCCTCCGGAGCGTATTAAGCATCTTATTGACCCTCCTTAGTAAATTTAAGGTACCCTCCGAAGTAACTGGGGTGATCAAGGTACCCTCCGAGGTAACCCTCCGGAGTGTCTTAAACCTTCTAGCGATCTTCCTTGTAAGAGACTTGAGTAAACCTTCTGTGGCAATTTGGGAAACGGAAAATATCCATTTAATTAGGATCATATTAGGATATTAGGCGTGCTTATCAGGATGATAAGAACCCATTTTGACCCGGAAATTCGTGATCAACTTTGGATTCTACATTGGGTGTATTAGAAGTACCCGAACAAAATTTTTTTGATTGTGATTTTGGTTGTGTGGTTGCCTTGAGCTACTTAATAGGAAAGTTCGGGCAATCCGGGAACAAATAAAGGAAGACCTCGGTGGGTGTATTAGGCAAATACACACCCACTTGAGAAGAAAAATTGTTCCCTATTCTCGTGCACTTGGAGCAGTCCGAGTGTGGGAGAGCTTTTTCATAGACTTTAGAAATTTTCGATCAGAGGTTGCCTTGAGCTACTTAGTAGGACAGCTCGGGCAATCGCAGGACACCTAAAAGAAGACCTCGGTGGGTGTATTAGGCAGACACACACCCACTTGAGAAGACTGTGTCCTGGGCTTCGTTCTTTCGGATCGTTCCGATTGGGGGAAGTCTTTTTCTTTAAGACTAAGTTTTATTTATCTATTTCTGAATCATCACTGCTTTTTATCAAAGATTGTTTAATTTTAACAAAGCAGTGACTTGATAAATTGTGTGGCGATAGATTGATACTGACAAAAGGGTCGCTGTCACCTGTAGGATATTCTTATCTGATTATCGATTGTGTTTTGTGTGTCGATTATATCTTGTGGAAACTTAGTGATACTGTTATACTATACAACCGGGTTGAGTTAGCATTATATCAATACTGGGTAGACCCTGTGTGTAACTTTAGCTGAGTCACTAATTTAGTCGTGAGAGATCTAAGAGACATTTTGATACTGACGGAATCGAGTAGGCAGCGTTAAGTGATTTAACTAAATCTTGTTTGTGGTACGTTTGCATTGCCATCAAATTACGAATACTTTCATTTTGTTAAAAACTATGCAGCGCAGGGACTCGCTAGGATCGACTACTAAAATTCCCAAGCTAAGCAAGGGAAGCACGCGGAAGGTTAGAACTAGGCGTAGCCAAACCTCGTTTAGCAGCGCTTCCGACGCGTTTGCTGAAGACGAATCGACTAAAGGTCAACCTGATCTTTCAGTGAGCGAAATCTTGGCTAAACTCGATGCAAATTTTACCGGAAACGGTCTTCCAAAAATTATCCCTAACAAGCATCTAGATCATCATCAAATTGTCTGAAACAAACTCAATTGAAATCTTCTGACAGTTGAGCGCCATTTGATTAGAAAGACTGATGATTTTGACTTAAGCGGTGCAAGCTAGCAGACAGGAAAAAAGCCTTTTTTTTCAGAAAAAATTAAAAGCGAACAATTCAAAAAACCACAACCTAATGAATCACAATTGTCTGGAATCGAGTTCTATTTACTGAAAACACTTCCAGAAACACAACCGACGGCAATTAACAAAAACTCAAAAAAATTAACAAGCGGCTTAAGAATCTTTTGGTCTCCAAATTAAAGCAGAAGTGTCAACACGAGGTCATCGACGGGTACTGCGATCTCTACCAACAACATGAACTTGATCTGAAGTCTTTTTAACTTAGTTAAGACCAAAAAATCCGGCGGCCGGAGGGTTAGGCGGGAAGTCATGAGCCCGCTTATTCCAAGGCCCTGGGACCAAAAACAATTAAAGAGAAAGTGTAAAACCGAACAAAAAAATTTGTGCCATTCTGCCAGATGACACAGCACAACCTTCCCGCGACAGAAAAAAGAGTGACTAAAGGCCTTATGAACAAAAAAGTGTTGCGACGGAGGGTCAGAATGTTCTAGAATTTTTATTTTTAAAATTTCGATTGGAAGAACATTTCTGAGAAATAGAAAAAAAGACGGCCATTTTGAATAAAAAAGACGAAAATCAGAACGACGCCAAATATTGTGAAGAACAGTCGAGCAAGAAAATTACGAAGCCTCTTATCGTGGCAAGAACACACGATAAGAACCTTAGCGACGTATATTTGTGGAGAAGGAGGCTTCAGTGGGGGGAAGAGAAATACCACGGAACCCTCCCGGGACACGAAATATAAGAGATAAGAGTGTTATCTCAAGAAAATCACGGGAGCGGAGGCTTGGTCCCCCAGAGACTGTTATATGTGAAGGGACTGTGAAGACTGACTATAACAGCTGCTGTAATGTCCTAGATCTTAATTAACACCGTTATTATTTAATATTTCAGAGCATGAGTAGATAGAAAAAGGAAAGGGTCAATCCATCTCCAATGGATTTAATATAAAACTGTCACACAAAAACATAATAAAATAGGTTGTTCGAGCCGTGTTTTTAATGACAATCACGTAGTCTGAGGATCCGAGACTCAGCTA